GGTGACGCATTGACTAGCTACCACAATGGTTACGGAGTGTGTAAGTGGGTGATTAGCACTGGCAGCTACCACAACGTCCTACATATTACGTGGGCTAAGGATTTATAGATTTTGTTTTGTGGCTATTGGTGTTTTCGGGTATATAAAGACTGCTGGATTCGAATTTTGAGGACGAAATTCTTTTTAAGTGGTGGAGAATGTGACAACCCAGATTTTTAGGATTTTAATTTACATTTATTTCATGACTTTTAGTTGTTAATTTAATTTTAATTAGAGATGGAGATTTTGGGTAATTGATATTTTGTTTTTGTATTTAATTTTAGTAGATTAATTTATTTAGTTATTGAATTATAGGTCTTGATTTTTTAAAAGCTTAAGTGGAAGTCTATTTGTATATATAACATATATATATTTAATGGAGAATGGTAATAAAAGTAAAAAGCAAACTGTCAACCAAAATGGGAAAGGTAGAAAAATTATGATAATGATTTTAATTTGGTGGGTCTTGATTTTTGATGACAAGTGGTGAAGGTTTACATTTGTAGATATGATGTACATTTATATATTTAATGTCTGTTGAATGATGTAAAAAAGAAGGAGCTGCTGAAGTGGGAAGAAGAGTGAGAGTAATGGAAATGGCTTTTGCGGGTCCCACAAGGAGTTATGGTTTGATTTGATTTGATTATATATATATATATATATATATATATATATATATATATAAATATATATATATAATTTGTTTGCAGAAGAGAGAAGGAATGGGTGGTTGCCTAAAAAAAAAAAAAAAGAGGAAAAGCTGTAATGATTTCGTGGGTCCTATTTATTGCCAAAAGTCTTTGGCTTCACATGGGCTGTTTGGGTGAATTGATTTGGTTATTATATCTATGTTATGTTTTTTGAAAAGAGATGGAGGATGGGCCTGCTGAATTGATGGCGTGAAGATAAAGAATGAGAAAAGAAGAAGAAAGCAAGGGTGGCGGGTCTACTAATTGATTATGGTCTTTGATATTTTGTGTGTGTGGTGAGCAATTGTTGTGTCAGTGGGATTTCCTCTATTTATAAGTTGTAGCTATCTTGTGGAGTTTAGTAAGCAAACGGAAAAGAAATAAAGAGGAGAGTAGAGGAGAGAAATTAAAGAAAGACAGAGAGGGCCGAGTTTGAGGAGGGACAGAGAGTGAGAGAAGGCCGGAAGCTTGAGGCTTTGATGATCTAGTGAGGAAATTTTTTTCAGATAGGGGTTCCTAATCCACGAAATTTCTTGTTCCTTTGTGAATTTCCATCTTGAAGTATTGTCTAGCATGCCAATTTATGTTGAATTTCCTCTAAAATGATTAGATTATTATAAATGAAGTATGTAGCTATGTGTTTAGTTAAAATTGTATGCTTGTATAAATTAATTTCATGTTCTAAATGTTTACTATTCTTGATTATTGATGAATGTAAGCATGTTGTATTTTTTTTAGAAATTCTTGTAAAGCATGCTAAGTGGTTTGGCCATGAATTAAATGTATGATTATGAGAATTGACATGGCATGAAATGGTATGATGCATTCATGCATAAGCATTGGGAAGAAATGGGAAAGTGATTTAAAAAGGAAAGAAAATGATTTTTGAGAAAAAGATTTGATAAAAGGATTTTTTGTAAAAACCCGGATGCCAAGGGGGTACAGAGGGTCCGTGGCGTTAATGTGACCTAGAGGGAACTAGGGAAAACCCCTAGCGTGGTTGAGCTATCTGGCCCTAAATGATGCCTCGGGGCTATCAAAGGTTAGGGACAGTGGACAATCCTTCTCTCGTGTCACCAAGGGGTACAGAGGGATGGGTTACATTAACAGTTTAAAAAGTAATGAATGGAAGTGATTTTGAAATGGGGAGCGACATAGCACGACATTGCATTTCATGGCATGATATTATTTATTTTTAGCCTTGAAATTGTATTATATTCTTCCTCTGTATAGCATGATCCTATTTCCTTTATTTTTATTTATTGCTTGGATTCACGGGGTCACAAGAGGTATGTCTTAGGCACTACCTACTGAGCTTTATGCTCACCCTATTATTTAACATTTTTCAGAACATGGGAAAGAAGTGGTGGGTGATGTTCCACCACAAGCCTAATTTGGATTACAGGATCATTTTGCTATTTTTGTATCTAAGTCCCATCAATTTTTTTTTTTTTTTTTTGTAAAACCTTAGTTTGTTATATTTAGTACAAAGACTTATAGACTCTTGTTAGTGTAATTATATTCAGTAACTTTAATATAAGTTGTCTAAACGTTGTAAGACATGGACTTTTGATCTTAAGCATATTTTTTGGACTGTAACTATGATATTTGGACTAAATAGTATCAGAGCATTTTATGAGAATTTTTGGGTCATGATAGGAATGACCACCTTCAAAGGTTCTTTTTGCCTTTAAAAATGATTTCAGGATTGTTCTATAACTAGCGGAAAGAAATACGATATTGAAAGTGCAGGACTTTGAATTAAAAGTGTTATGCACTACTTGCTGAAAAGTAGGAAAAGAAAGTGTTAGACTTAAATTGATGATGCACATTCCTTATACAAATCAATATTTTACCTTTCCCTCCTACCGAAATTTGTGATAAGTCTCCAAATGTCACCTTGCCATTTATTGATTCATCAAGATCAACGAACTTATTATGTTCTTGAATTTTGTCATTTTTCAATTTCTAGAATTTTCTATTTTTCCGAGGGCATTTTTTTCTTTTCTCGTTTTGCATACCGAACACCGTGGAGTATGCCGGGAGTGTCCGAGAGTTGGGTAGGGCATTTCATTAAGTTCAGGATTCTTTGAAATGTAAGGGTTGACATTTCGGCATTTTTCTGTTTTTCGGGCCGAACGGTTCCGAGTGGGACCCACTACCGGAATTGTTCTGCACGGGGATTGTATCACGGGTCCATTGCATATCATGTATATTTATTTGTGTATAATTTTAATGTTATGAATTAATCTATGAGGTTGTAATAGTTAGTGCATATGTATATATTTTGTGTGGTGGAAATTTAAATAAAAGTTTGACTTTTCTTTGTGGAGGGACCCACTACAAGATTTTAGTTGGCTAAGAGACCAAATTTGGTCTCATTTCCTCTCTCTCCCCGGCTGGTGCTCTCTCTCTCTCTTCACTTTCTTTTTCTTTTTCTTTTTGTCACAATTTCAAGTTTTAATTACTCTCTCACCTTTTGGAATTTGTTGGTACCATTTGTGGCAAATCGGAGAGCTCGTTGAGGCCATCATTCTGATAGGAACAAATCATACTTTTGGCCAACCTTGAGATTTTGAATTAGGGCTTGGTGTTGGGAAAGATTGGGGCTTTTCTCTAATTAAGAGGTAGGGGTCTCTAATCCACAAGTTCTTATACTTTTGTGAGTTGAATTTCCTTTATTTGTGTCAAGCATGCTTATTTTATGTTAATTAGTTTTAAAATTATTTAAATGATGTATAAGGAATGTGCAAATATGTGATAGTTGATGTGTTGTGAATAAAGATGCTTACATGTGATTAAATTCTTGTTTTAGGTGCTTACTATGATGAATCAATGGTGATTAAAAGCATGAGTTGTATATTTTAGCAATTTATCTTAAGTAGCATGTATGATAATGTTATGGTTACATCGATGATTAGAAGCATGAAGCACTCATGCATTCATTAGGAAAGAAAAGGGGGAAAAGTGTTTTAAAACAAATGAAAATTGTTTTAGGAAAATGTTTTGTAACACTTACTCCAAAGCCTCTTGTTCCTTCACCACTTTTTTTTTTTCATGAGCTTGCAACGAACCCATGAGTTGATCAACAGTCATGGAATCCAAATCCTTTGACTCTTCAATGGCTACAACAATGTAGTTGAATTTGGAATCCAACGACCGAATGATCTTTTCAACGACCCTTGTATCAATCATAGTGGTTTCACCATATCTCCTTAGTTGATTTACAATAGTTAGGACCCTCGAAAAATAATCTGCAATTGATTCAGATTCCTTCATATGCAATGCTTCAAATTCACCTCGTAACGTTTGGAGGCAAACCTTATTCATTTTATCAACTCCTTGGAAAGATTTTTGAAGAATCTCCCATAGTTGTTTTGCATTTTCTGCACTAGCAACTCTTTATAGCATTGCATCATCCAAACATTGATGGATGGTCATTACAGCCTTTTGGTCCTTTTTTCTCATGGCTTATAAAACATCTTTTTTGGCTTGAGACAAAGTTTCCTCATCTTATGGCTCATCATAACCTTTGGTAACAACTTCTTACACATCTTGTACTCCCAAAATTGCCTTCATATGGACACACCAATTTTCATAGTTATCTTTGGTGAATCGAGGCATTTGAAATGGAACCAAATTATTTGTCATTTCTTCTCTCTCTTAGAAACTAGCTCTAATACCACTTTGTTGGAAACAGTGGCTTAGATACATACACAACACTATAATATTTGGAAAATAATAAAATGGAGGAAATACTTTTATTTCACTTGATTAAAAATGGGTAAAATACATGAGGTTATATAGGCTTCAAAATATATATGTAACAACTATATGTAAATGAAAATTAACACCCCACTAACATAATAATTATCACTAACATGACCAGTACTAGTTATAACCCTCATGCCTCCCACTAACTCTAACAAAAACTCACATAAACATAAAAATTAAATACCAAATAAAAAACACCCATGACGTTCAAAGACATTAAAAATTATAATCAAATTTAATTTCTAACAGCTTCATCAATATCCTCACTAAACCGGGATGTTGCTATAACTACAAATCACAGGTAGTTTAGGCCACACGTCGAAGCTTATACCGCGTAACAATTTCTAGGAGCTATTGAGCAACGGCCTTTATTAAGTATCAAATTCTGGAATTAATCCTCTGTAATTCAATTGTTCTAATGTAGAAGGAACTGGGAAGGTGAATGAGAAGGGAGTTGCTTACTACAACAGGTTGATCAAATCACATGCTCGAAAGATGTATTAAATTAATTGCTTTAATTGATAGCTGAGAATAAAAACAAAAACACACAAATTAAAAGGATAGAAAATCCTAAACCTGTTGGACATTACTGTTTTAAATGTTTTGGTTGCAGGCATTACTCCTTAATTGTGCCAATCTTCATCACTATGATCTTCCTCGAGCACTTCTGGATAGGTACATGGGCTTCTAAATTGCATTGCTGTGTGTGGAATGATCTCACAGTAGAGCCTTGAGCAGCCTGAAGGTGTACACAACTTGTCCTGTCTCGTCACAAAACGAGTCCACATGGAAGGATTCCTGGTTTTTGAATACTACCACCTCTATCCGAAGTTTCTGGACATGGTTCTATCTAACATAAAAGAAGGAAGGATTGTATACGTGGAAGACATAGCTGAAGGACTAGAGAGTGGTCCAGCAGCTCTTGTTGCGCTCTCCTCTGCCGCAATGTTGGTGAACGGTAGTAGTTGTTTCTCGGGAATGATGTACATTACGATATATATTACATCTTCTATGTGCTTACAAGTTCTGAAACAAATTCCTCAATGTTGTTATCGGAGCTTCCACCTTCATGGACCGCCTCCTTGGCCAATTCTTTCCACCTGACAGCATTCTTTCTAAGCTCATTCCCTTTCTCTCCCTCCATGACTTGTCTTATGCACAGCTCAAACTCATCTCTGCTGACAAGTCCCTTTTCATTGTCGACCCTGACCCTTACCCCTGCATGCCATACGTCCACGATACATTTTGCATTAGTTGCTTGATCCGTCCACTGTGGCATAGCAACCATCGGCACTCCCAAGCTCAAGGCCTCTAGTGTTGAGTTCCATCCACAGTGAGTTACGAAACACCCCACGGCCCGATGAGCCAGAACTTCTAGTTGAGGACACCAATTCACAACCAGACCTTTCGAATTGCCTCCGCCCATGAAATTGCTTGGAAGCTTACTCTGTTCGGAAGCCCTGACTACCCACAAGAAGTAGGTGTTGCTCATCAACAAGCCCCATGCCAGTTCCTCCATTTGCAATTCCCCTAGGTTGGCCAAGCTCCCAAATGAAACATAAACAACTGACCTACTTTCCTTGCTCTCTAGCCACTTCATGCATGCTTCTGCATCTGGCTTGAAAAGATTCAGCCCATAATCTCTGTCGTCCTCTAATCGCTTGTCTAAGTACATTGATGGAATAGTCGGTCCCACTGTCTTGATCATTGGCCACCGGCTAGACATCCAGTTTACTACCTAATTAACAGGAAGTCAGGTGCGTTGATTATTCAGTCTAGAACTACAAGTAGTAGTAGTGTGCGAGTTTGAATCACAAATTTGCATTAATTAGATTTGAAGGTTTTGGCACAAAAATATATGCTTAGAATAATTATAAAGGCTTACTAGGCACTTAAGAAAAGCTGTAAAAGTGGCCGATCTAATAGAATAGAATAGAGAAAGAGAATCCATATAGCCGACGTGCCCCCCATTCATTTGGAGAAAAGGCAAGGATGATGATGAATCTCTTTCTGTTTATACACGATAAGGGGTATTCAATACATAATTCTAAAGGGAAGGAATCCAACAGCACTAGTACGATGCACATCTTGGTGTTTGGATTCAGTAGCCAAGGCCTAGCTTGGCGCTATACAAGCACCAAATATCCACCATTGATGTTTTTGTGGAAGTAAGTACAACTGTATTTTTTGTTCTTATCATCGCCAAATGAATGTGTGGTTCTAAGCACTCCTGTCATGTGCATCTTATCACCAGATGAATGTCTGGAGAAACCGAGAAACATATACTATGCATACATACCTCACGTTCCAGCTTGTCAAAGGTGTTAAACAAGAGCCAATCTGCTTTATGGAAATTGGAAAATTGATCGAGTACGATGGTCAAGAGAAATGGATATGAGTCCGTGTCACAGATGAAGGATGGTAGATCATTAATTCCGAGCAATACTGGCACTGAAGGTACAGATACCATGGATGATGATGATCCAGCAGCAGCTATTCCTTGTCGACCTTGTGGACGATGAGGATTAATGTTGAGGAGAGACCCTTGATTCACGTGGTAATAGATGGCACAAACGGCACACGATTGAGTGAAGAACGAAGCTCCATAAACACCCAACTGCCGCGCAATGTCCAGAGCCCATGGTATAACTGAATCATACACCAGCACTAGTTTGTTTTCTTGTTTCTTAATACTCTGAATGAACTCTGCCAAGCTTCGTGGGATTGCGACTTTGAAACGCTCCAGATACAAGTCGAAGCTCTCTATCTTTTCACCCTCATCAACACCGTCGTAGATGCTCTCTATGTTTACTGAGCTGGATTCAGCTAATTGTATGGAATTGCTGCTAGTACTCGAGGTGGTGGTGACTAGTGTGACCTTAATACCAGTACCTTTGGACGCTAAGCGCTTTGCGAATTGCAGCATCGGGTTTATGTGGCCTTGTACTGGGAATGGAAACACTATAATGTGAATTCTAGTAGCCATTTCCATAGATCTCCAGAAGCTAAAGCTACCTACTTATCCCTACAAGTGTGGGATAAGATGAAGAAGAAGAGATAAATAGTACAGTTGAAGATGTTGAATGGTAGGCACAATTGGGTGAGTGAGTGAGTGAAATAAAGCGTCATCTTTCCACTCCAATCACATGTTGAAGAAGAATGCTTGTTGACATCATGCTTATGTCAAGACCATGTCGTTTTCGGGGACAGTAAACTATTTATAGAGGGGTATTTTAGGATAAAAACTTAATTTAACTCATTGTAGTGACGAGATGGTGTCAATAATTTATTAAATGGTGTAATATAGTGATATGACCCACTAAATTTATGTCACATGATATAATTAGTTAATGGCACAAATAACAAATTATGGTGTAGAGAAGTCTTTTTGGTATTTTACACAAATAATCATGTCCAACAAAGACAAGGAAAATTACAATAGTTGCCTTGTTTATGTATTATTCGTGAAGCCAACAAAGACAAGGAAATAGTACAAATTTAGGAAAATTACAACCTAATCTTACTTTTGCATATTAAAAAGACAATTAAGTTCTACAAAAATTTTATTAAAACAAAGAAATCTTACTTTTAAAATCTATTTTCAAATAAGTTTAAATTTAAATTTTGTTCCACCATTGCCCTTATTACTAAAGTGAAACTATCTATTCTTTCCTATTGTTCCAATACTCAAATCAATGCAATGCTTGTAGGATGAGTTTGATCTTGCAGACCTTTTAATTGTAGTTTGATCGATGAAATCTACTATACATCAGTGTTCACTGTTGGCATCCCTCAAGTTTTGGCTCATGATGAATGCCAAGTAAAAATCGTTCCTCTTTGAATGCAAAGACATAGAAAAACCTAAAACTGTACAAAATTAATAAAAATTTGCATACAATAATCAAATCCCAAATCAAAAGACTAAACTTTAAAGAAAAAACGCATACAAATATTACATACCTAAATCGCTTGAAAAAATGGTGGATGGTGAGCAAAGAAGAAGATGTTGAGAAGAATACGGAAAATGCGGAGTAAAATACCAAAGATGCCAAGAAGAATAGAAAAAGTCGCCCCATAATGTATGAAAAGGGTAAAAAATGTGTTTTAATTATATACAAATTTGTTAGAAATAGATCTCAGAAATAGGATTTATTTGTCCTAATAAAAAATTCATAGAAATTAAGGTGCAAAAGTAGGATTATGTTGTCTTTAAGGTGCAAAAGTAGGATTATGTTGTAAATTTTTCTATATCTTCTCAGTTGTTTCTATGTCTGAATTATGATAAAGTTTACAGTACATGCGGTACCCCATTCAATTAAAAAAAATAAAAAATAAAAAAATAAAATTGGATGGTTATATACCTTAAGAAATTAATCATCAATCATATAAAGCATGAAAACCACACTGATCAAGGCCACAACAATTAAATTACATGCGCTTTTTGCAGGGATAACCATGAGTTCAATGAGTCACAGGTTTAGCCAAAATGAAGATTCCCAGCAACAGCATGCTTTGATTGCCACAACAATTAAATTACATACGTTGATCGTCAGGGTTGAATGCAAGAGCCTCTCTGTAAATCAACTCCAATTCATTTGTTGTGAGATATATTTTTGTAAATTGGCATATTTTGGTAACAAAACAAGTCCTAGTCGAGTTGTAATTTCAGTTACCATATCAGACTTGACATCGACTGCGGAATTCAGAGGTTGAACAGAAGAGGAAAGTACTATTGATTATCAAAAAGGAAAGAACAACACATTAGAACATCGTTTCCCACTTATGACACAATTACCTATATGGTATATGTTCAGAGTTACCAAAATACAGAAAATCCAAGTTTCAGTTGGATTCTGTCTAGTGGGAACCGGTTGGAGAAATGGGAACCAGTAGCAAAGTACGTCGGAAATCTTCTGACCTTCTTGAACCGGTAGTCAATTTGGGAACCGGTAGCTCGTGAACCGATAGCCAATTTGGGAACCGGTAGCACAAGTCCTGACAGCATTCGAACTTTCAGTTTCCTGTTCTGCTGAATCCCTTTTTGATTCCACTTTCCTTTTAAAGTCCTATGCACGAGATTTCCTTTATTTTTAAGAGGAATAGGACTTTACAAACCTCTATATAAACCATGTCATACACAAGGTTTATGGGACGGCTTTTGTGATACAGATTCAATATTTTTAAAGCCTTAGGAAGTTAATCCTTCTCAGAAAATCAAAGTTGATTTTTCTGTAGTCTTCCTAGAACATACACATATTCACCTAGTTAGGTTAGAGTTGTGGAGTTCAAATCTTGATCGTGATCATACAGTTGTATCAACATTGATCAGACGAAGTAGATCTTCTTCTATATCATTCAGACGATTGAAGAATAGAGGTAAACGCAATCACACTTTTGAAAGGGTTGGAGCATTTGTGGAGTGTTGTCTGATCTACCTACTACTCTTCTACAAATATCAAGTGTTAGTCTGAGATCAAGTTGCTGTTGGACGAGGAGTCGCAAAGCCAGAGGATCATCAGCGGTTGGTGTGGTGTAGAACGATAGGGTGTGAGCCAGAGTCAAAGTTCGGTATACTTTATTTCAAGCATAGTGGATTGGTTTACTTTGGACTGCATAATCCACGAGGTTTTTCCCATAACAGTTGACGTATTTTATCAACTGGGGTTTCCTCGCTAAAATCCCAGTGTCATCTCTAATTTTATACTTTGCATTATTTTATTTGCATGTGATTAACTGTTTAATTGTTAAAACATAAAATAAGCAAAGTTGTTAAGGACACAGATCTGTTTTCTAGAACAAACTAAAACTTTCTAAGTAATTTCCGCTGCGTATGACTCACATTTGTTCCTCAGATAATGCATCTTCCCTTGAAACCAATTATTTTAAGAGAGGAAATGAATTTGTTTTTGCTTCTACTAAAAATAGGGAGTTTTGATTGGAAGTCGTGCCTCATGTCAAAATATGTTGGGTAGTTATACGAATTCCATATCTACTAGTGAAAAAAGAAATTTAGGACTTATATAGAATAAGGGTCATTTCAACTAATAGATTAACCGTTTGGGTTGGACACGCCAAGCCAAACAGGCCCCAAAGAACCGCTTGTGGACTCAAGATTTCCTAACTAGTCAGAAGACCGGTGATAACAGACCCTAAAGAACCGCTTGTGGACTCAAGATCTCATAACTAGTCGAAAGACCGGTGATAACAGACCCCCAAGAATCGTATGTGGATTCAAGATCTCCTAACTAGTCAGAAAACCAGTGATAATAGACCTCAAAGAACCGCATGTGAACTCAAAATCCCCTAACCAGCTGGAAGACCGATGAGCCTTGTTCTTAAAAAAACCTTTATCTGCTTCCAAGCTAAGAAGTAACAACCATCACTGACCTCCTACAGAATTCACATTTTGCCCTCAAGCTAGTCGGAGCTAATAGCTTGGTTTTGTTACCACTGTCATGCGCACCATTGATTGACATAGTCAACCCAAAAGAAATGGATCAGAACACGAAAGCCCAATTTCTAAACCGTCCCAAAGGTCAAAGGGAAACTTCATATATTCAATAGGCCCATAAGCAATTGTACAGCCCAAATGACCCAAAATAAAGTCTTGACTAACATAGTGTTACTTAAGTAACGCATGAACAAAGAAAGGCTACAAATAAATATAAGTTGTTCACGGCTATCATGTTTTGTTCTTTTTCTCTGCACATATATTGGTCCCCTTATGCCAATTACCATTTTAGACTTATGCTTCATTCAAAATCACAATTGTATCTAAATGTGGGTTATAATAGTGGTTCTTTGCTGGTCCTATAGTTTAAGGTGATAGTATAGTTGAATAATGTACATCATTTTCCCAGAATTTTTTTTATGAAATAGCATATTCACATTTGAGACATTTATCCATCAAGAAAAATAAGAAGAATTACATGATTAAATTCTAGGCGTTAACTTCTAAGAAAATAAAAGATGATGATGAATTTGAATTATAGATTTGGAGTTCAGTGTGACTCCAACGGAACTGTTCCGAAAACCCAAAATTTACTAGAAAGCATATTTTGATTTTGAGAATTTACTTAAGAAGAATAAAGTGTATTCCTGTTGATGCTAAAAATTTTAGTTGGCTAGAGCCGATTCTAAATTGATCTATTGTGGGCGTGTCAGAACCAAAAATGTGGTTCAAGTGTAAATTGTCAGCTGTAGTTTCTTTGAGAACGTTGACTTTCAGGCGATGTGAAGAGAAAGAGAACAATAAAACTCCTCTTTTGAGTTCAGCATTGCCTTAATTAAAAGGACTTTTGACAGTAAATAAATATAGTAACAATATGAGAATAGAAATGGGAGAAAATATAGAAATAGAAGGGGATAGAGAGAAAGAAATATAGAATGAGATAGAGAGAGAGCGATAGAAATAGCAAAGATGCTATATGATGAACAGGCTTGAGAACGTAATAACAATAATTAAAAGATTCTGAGGGTGCTGGACCCCTAATGCAACATGCCTTTACAATTATTTATAGAATTATGCGTAAACTGAATCCCTATTATAAGAAAATTCTAACATAAATAGAAATATGGGTCCAATTCATAAATTTGATAAAGAAGACATACCTGATATGAAAATCTATTTAAGGGAATTATAGTGGAAACATTACTTATATCATATAGGAGACGACCTTCAACCCTCTTATCTTTCATTGTATACAGGATGATGGATTCCAGACTTCAATGCACATATATAGATGAGTGTTGGGACCGTTCCAGTAGACGTTAAGAGGTGTATTGGTTCCATCAACCAACACAACTCTTCATATGTGACTCTTCAACAAAACATCACAACTCTTAAATATTTAGGTGACTATTCATTCAAATATATGGATAACTAAATATTAATTAACTATTGTTAGACTGTTAATTTTTTACTTACATTCTCCTACTTAGTCTAACATTAATTAATTCTGATCACGTCAAGATCAAAATGATCATTGAGTGTACTACAGAAGTTAATCCATATATATAAGAAACACATCTTTCATCAATGTGACGTACCTTCAAGTCTACTAATATGGGATCAAGGGCATTATTATATCATCAATGATATAATACACCAATGGTCACTGA